GTGTCTAGACTGACAGCTGAGAGGAATGAGATACTGAAGGAATTAAAAGAGAATTTGGCTAGAGCTCAGAATCTGATGAAACAACAAGCTTAGCCCCAGGTTTTATGGCCCATACAAGATGAGGAGTTTGGAAAGAAGGATCAATCAGAAACTTAGCCCCAGGTTTTATGGCCCATACGAAATCATAGAGAAGCTGAATTCTGTAGCTTTCAAACTCAAGCTGCCAAGTGATTGTAGAATACATCCTGTATTCCATATTTCCTTGCTTAAGAAGATGTTGAAGCCTACTGTCCACTATCAAGAACATCCTAGGTGTCTTACAGAAGATTGTGAACTACAAGTACAGCCTGCGGAGATTAAAGAAGTCAGAATGAATCAAAAAGGGAAGAGGGGACTCCTGATACATTGGCAGGGACTTCCGGAGTTTGAGGAGTCCTGGGAAGAAGAACAGATAATCAAAGAACAATTTCCAGATTTCCAACTTGAGGGCAAGTTGGATGTTCAGGAGGGGAGTATTGATGGAGACACGTGTGCAGCTAGCAAGAGGGATAGATACTATGGTCAAGTTTATTCCAGGAGGAGAAAATAGACTAGTGGTTTGTTAGTTACTTTCATTTAAATAATTGTAACTACTTTTAAATAGTCGGGGAACTATAAATACAATAAGGAGGGTGAAGGAAGGCAGGCTGTTAGATCTCTGGACTGGGACTGGAAAGATTAGAGACTCGTCTCTTTTCTTTGGGCTTCGTATACTGTAATTCCTCCATTGGTGAACTGCGAGTATTGTTTGAGCTCTTGTTCTACTGTTTTTCTTACAATTCCTTTACTACTGTGTTCTATTTCTGCGCTACTCTATCACTAATTCATGGAACATGAATGAAATTGACAAAAAATGATTAAAAGTTTGCTGCGAGCAAATCAAGAAAAACTAAAAAAATCAAAAGTGCAAAAAAGGCAGGAACTTTTCAATTAATGAACAAATAGCAAAATCAACGTTTACAATACAAATTTGATTTTGTAACCGTAAGCAAATATTTCAAATAAAGATAGAAGTGATAGCGAACTTACCAGGTGAAGTCCCACGACGTTTGGATGCCCATTGCCACCGCCATCACTGAACAAAAAATGTCTCAGATCCTTCTATCAAGACTCTATTTTTGAATTCATGGTTATACATGTTTTCTTTTAGACTGTTTTCAATCCCAGACCAGACCAGAATTGTACAGTTATAAAATACACAAAGATCAGACATTCATCAGACCAGACCGGTTCAGACCCGACTAGACCAGAGTAGAGCAGACTTACACTGACGGACAGACCAGACCAGACCAGTAAATTTCAGTCAAAAAGAAAAAATTCTAAGTTTCAAAGTTTATATGTTACAACCTTCCCAGGTCAATCCAGTCTGGAGCAAGTCAGCAGTTTATTCCGGTTTGATTCTTATGAACAGGTTATTAGTGTACCAGATTGTTTATGTGGTTCGTTGGATTCCGATCAATCCACCTGGTCCAATTAGGGTCTTGCATTATACTCTGTAGATAGTTTGTTTTATGATATATAGTTATTATATCAAGTGTGGTTTGGTATAATGGTACTACGTATAATGGTATTGACCCTGCTATGCTATACAGGGGTGGATCTCGCTTTGACATCCAGGATGGCCAAAATTTTATTAAATAATGTATATTGATAAAAAAACATCTATTGTAAAAACAAAAATAAAGACAAAAATAAACATAATAGGAAAAAGAGTTTTCATTAATGTCAAATACAAAAATAACACAATTTTCCAACTGTTCTCTACAGGTTTTCATCAATTGATATTGTTTGATAATGACATAATTGTCAAATTTCTTCATTCCCTTTATTGAAAATAGGATTAGTTACTACACTAATACTAATTCTTGATAATAATTAGATTAGCCAAGTACCTTGTGGTATGATGGCATCATTGTGATACTCCCGAGGAGGAGGTCACAAGTTAGAATCTCATGTCAGTTCAAGAATGTTGGCATCAACATAGAACAAATACTATAATAGGTTAGCAGGTTTTGCCAAAAAAATACTAGTAATTAGATTAATTATTACAAATCACAAGTAAATTCATACTACTATAAATGATGATCACAACTTTATAAATAACAATCAAATTCATACAAAACAAGGCTGTAATTTAGTCTTAAATTGAATTAAAATCACAATAAAACTAAAACTTAAAATTAAACAATGCTGTAATACTAAAGTCTAAATAAGGCTGTAATTAAAATTAAAAACCTTAATTAGCTTAGTTAGTAACTTACCCGTTAGGTAGTTCCACAAGCGGCAGCTCCAGAGTCCCAGTTTACCACAGGAGCAGAATTGCAGAAAGCCAGAAACTAAGCAATGAAGCAGTCCAAACCGGCAAATCGCCGTGCGCCGTCCAATTGTCCAAGTGCTGAGCGCCTGAACCGCCGTGCGCCGTCCAAGTACTGAGCTTAGGTTGGGATTTGGGGTTTTGCCTAAACAGAACGCTGCGGACTCTATTGCGGACTGCTAGTCTGCTGCGGTGCTGCCTCTTCCCCTGCGCGATGCATTCTTGGAGTTGGATTTTGGGATATTAAGATTTTGGGCCATGGTCTAATTATGGGCTTGGCTGGAAGGACAGGGGAGTGCGGATGAACAAACCTACGGACTAATGGAGTAATGGGCCTGGACTGTTCTATATTAACATTTTTTTGAAATTTAAGGATGGGCCTAATTTTTATACATATATACTAGTTGAAAAAAATAAAATTTAAGGGTGGGCCTGGGTGTTAACAGGCACTTGGTCCAATCTGCCCCTGATGCAATATACCAAGTACTCCATATATAATACGTAGTATAACGGAGTAGAAAGTAAGCTTATATTGTTTCACTGAAATGCACTTGCAAATTGTGTTGTGTAAAATCACAGATGCAAGTTTGGGGTGTTCATCTCACATCCCTTCAAAGTTTGGGGTATTTTCATTATTTTTCCAATTTTTTATATCAATGATCAAATTTAATTCTCATTTCATATACTCTATGTGCGTGTATACACACACAGACACATATTATCTTTATATTTAAAACTAATATTATTTGTATTTAGATCAATATTTATGCTTGCATTCATGTTCATATTTATTAGCACATCCAAGCTCCAATAGTCCAGTCAATAGGGGCCTTAAATTTGGAATATAAATCACTCTTATTAAAATATTTAACACTCTTATTAAAATATTTATCACTCTTATTAAATGTTTTCATAAGAGTGATAATCAATTTTTTAGTAACCAATCTTGACGCATCATTGATTTATAACTCAATTTTACTATATAAAGTAATAGATATGCATATAATTTATTATTCTTTAATTATGAACAACTGCAAGAATATAAAAAATAAACTCTCATCGTCCCAACAAAACCCAACAAAACATGACCGCAACAGGGACATGTCGGGATCGCAACACGTTGTGGCTGCAATATTGAGGCTGTCTTCCGTAGCGCAGCCACATTGGGCCGCAATATTATGTGGAAGGTACTATTGACATTGAATTTTAGAAATTCACAACTTCAAGATTTTTTTCATCATCATATCTTACAATTGGAGTTGAATTTAGATATTTCGAACAACCAAATATTGTTGGCAATACAAATAAAAATCCACTATAGTCAGGTTAGCGAAATCCATTATTCCCTTCCACATATTTCTGTGCACAAATAAGAATCACCTCAATTTCAAAATGGACACACATATTTAACTCATTTTCGTCAATTTAACTAAATAATATAGTTATAGGGGAAGGGTCGGATTTCGTTCTCCCTGATAATATAGGCATGGTGTCTATACTTTGACACGCCCGATCGCTTTTTGATTTTCACGTTTAAATTTGATGTGGAATAGCATATGACACTGTTGTGAGGAAAATACAAAGGTATTGACAGTTTTTTTAAAAAACATGAGGTGGATACCATTACAACCTTGTTCGATCATAATAAATATTTCAAAAATGATGTTTGTACCTATCATTATACTCATTTCTATACTCACTCATGTTTGTGAATGCTTTTTTGTCTATGAATTTTGTTCACAGGCAAAATAAGACATATTTTGTATGTGAACAGAACTCACAGATAAAAAAAACCTTCACCTCGAGGTGTGTATAAGGAGTAGATACAACAAGCATTGTTGTAAATATTTCTCAATATCATAAAAAATAGTCCAACTTGACTTGTCAAAGGACATCGTGTGGTCAAATGTTATATGGGGGAAGAAACAATATGTATCCCGAAAAATGAAAGTATAAATTTCATCTTAAGATGGATGGAGTCATGGAGTATATAAAGGGTATCTTTGGTGTCGGTGTTTCAGCCAGAATGTCATGCTAAAATAAACTAAAAACATGCAAAGTGCAGTGTATTGGATCTGTGTTTCTACTCATCATCATCATCAACAACTTTATCATTACCCTAGTGCCACAAAGTCTCCCATCTACGGTGGGGTAAGGGGGATCGGATGTATGCAGTCTTACCCTTGTGCTAAAGCACAAAGAGACTGTTTCCGGATGACCCATAGTGAAAATCGCGTCGAAAATTACATGAACTGACTGTTACTTCATAACAAAGAAATGCAGACAGTTTAGTGAATCATTTTGCTTTATTCCATCATATTCCCAAGCAAAAAAATAGCTTCATTTCAAATAATGGAAATATCCGCGTTTCTACTCTATGCCAAAAATACAAACAATGCCAAAATACAAACTAATTTACTAAATCTTCATGTGTGATTGCTTAAGGTAAGTAATCCTCTACTCACTATTTTGATCCAAGGGTAAGTCAAAGTTTTCTTCTACTCATGAAGATTTGAATGTTTAATTCATCTTCAAGTTCACGTGTTTGTCAATATTCATAGGTCTTATCGCATTACAGAATTTACGATGAATTCTAAACTATTAACTTTAAACGATTTTGATCAACCTACAAGAATTTGAGAATGGCTGCAACTAATGATCAAGATCAGTGTTATTGAGAAAAAAATGGACAGTATAAGGGGTATATGGGTCACACAATAAATAATGATCACTTGTCCCACACTGGCTTTTTTGCTTCATGTAAGGGTAGCTCCAATTTTTGCTGGTTTTAGTACACTCTTAAAAGCTTTTATCGTGTGCTCAAATGCTAGTAGAAATAGGCCAAAAATGTAAAGAAGAAAGACTTGAAGCCTCTCTATTATGTAACTAACAAAAGATAAACCATCTGGCCTGGCAATCGACAGCGGTGTCCTCTTCCATCCTAAAATTCATCAAAGTTTATAACGAGACCCCATTAGAATGCACTTGGTATGTTCTTCAAGAGAACAACACACAAACCCAAACACACATCATCTTACCAGTAGTTTCCTTGGTCAAATTTGTCCATTCTAAGGCATTAATCTTGCTTTCTGAAGCTTTGATTAGCTGAAGAAGTGCTTCATTGACCTGAATTTTCCAGTGGTCAAGTCATATAGACATGTCTATATCCTCAGTTATAATAACAACTTTCATAGAAACAGGGGCGTGAATATGCTATTTTTTACCTCTTCGGTCCTTTCGTGACTCACAAGGTGTCCTCCATGAAGTTCCACCATTCTAGCAAAAGGGTATAACTTTTCTGCTAGTGTTCGTGCATGGCATAATTGGGCAATGACATCATCCCTACACAAAAAGGGAAAAGAAAGTAATTTTTTCTTTTCTTTAATCCAACCTATTCATGAAATCGCACCCCCTATAGAGAGGGTTTCCCTATACCTGCCATGAATTACGGATATGGGAAACTCAGCTGAGCAAATGGACTCGAACTCTTTTTTAGACAACTTATGTGTCCAGCAAGCATTGATCTGACCGTCTAATCCATAACTTGACTGCATCCCTGTTGCTGATATAGCTTTCACATATTCCTACAAAGGGATTCCAATAGGAAATAAAGAGCAAAGGTGGTATAAGATTTTGAATTCTACCAGTGATTCTAAAGAGCAGTAATTCGCTTGGGTTATGTTTGGGGGTCGAAAATGGTAGGTAAAAGAAAAAGTAGCAAGGAAAATGGTTTCTACTAAGTTTGGCTTTACATTGGAAAATGTCATTGAAAATGAAATGTGAATGATATAATTTTTTGAATAAAATTACATATACCTAACTTTCTTAGTCTTTGCTTAAAAAAAAACTCTTAGTCTTGATACCATAGAAATAAATAAATAAAATGAGTTTGAAAAAAGTACTCCGTATCTATCATAAATGTATTGATTCGGGGTCTTTCATTTTCCCCTAAAACCCCTTTCCTTCCACTTATCTTTCTATTTTCCTCCTACTTCACTTCCCAAGTATTTTCTGTGTTCCAAACAGACCCTTAGCATCAAGAATAAAAACAAACTATATTTATCTGATGAATTTGGACGAAAAAGAGGACATGAAGAGAATTGCATCTGTGCCTAAACATACTTGATACAATATTGCTCTACGCGTATTGGCCCCTACATATTCCTCAAGAAATTCCTGCACAGAATTATTAAAATCATATTTATAATCTCCAATAGAAAGCAAAATCCATGTTATGCATATTAACAACTGTTATTAACCTTTGAATAATGGGTATCGAGATCAACTGCTGCCCTTTGCTCAGGAGTTTTTGCCTTCAGAAAACGGACAGCAATTGACAAAGTTCGACGGTCAAACTGTGTACAAAGATGACAAAACTACATGATTAGATTTAACTCTCCTATCTACTATATATTCCAGCTAATATGGAGTACTAAATAATATTCTCAACAGACCAAAATAAATAGCAGTTAAAGAAACGCACAAGCGCAGGCAAAGTGCTACTACAGTTGGTCGATAACACTTCTATAGCATTTCTTTAAACACATCCATATGATGTAGTTATGAGATCTAACTCATATGAGCATTTCATTATAGTACTTAAAGTCACCAAGCCTGTCCCTGAAAATTTCAGATATTATAGTACTTAAACTCAGTCTTACGCCTTCCTAGTTTTGCAGCTATTTATATCCAATGCTTCAAATGGGAACTGGCTGGACTCTTATATGTTGCATCACCCCAGAAATTTCTAAATAGATTTGTTTTAGATGTTTGTTGAAACTCATTTCATGCATTTACTCTTTTGTATACAACAACAACAACATCCAAGCCTTAGTCCCAAAAGATATTGGGGTCGGCTAACATGAATCGATACATGATATCACAACCAAAAGGAAAAGAAGGAATAAAATTCATATTTCGATTCATGTCATGTGATGTGACTAGGTGATACTGTTGGCCGTCACACGCCTACCACAGCACCCTCCTCCTTTATCCTGGCTTGGGACAGGCATGATACCGAAAAAATGATATCATGGCGGAGTTCATTTAATCTTTTGTATAAAGACTAAAAATCTAATGAATGAGAAAATATTGGAAAATTCTTCATTTTTCATTTTCCAAGAGAAAACTAAACAAAAGAAAATAATTTCCTTCAACATTTCTTTTCCCTTCCTGAGCATTTCCTGTAATCCAAACTTAACCTTAGAGACTCAGGGCTAAAAGTTTTGTCTTTTTTTTTCAGATATAAACCCCCAGTCTTACAAGGAGTACAGTATTGCTATATTCCTGAAAGAAATCACATGGCACATTAAGTGTAAAATCTCTTAAAACAGAACACATAAATTACCTTTGGTATGCACTGGAAACCTCCACCAGTTACATTTAGTAAAGCCAAAGACAGAACTCTGTTGGGTACCAAAGCAGCCAGCTTGCAAGCAATCATACCTCCTGCACAATCATCAAAATAATATGCAACGGAGCCACAAGCACAATGAAGATAAAAGAATCATTATTGCAATTAAATGACTTCAACTCTTGTCATTGTTCCACAGAGAGAATAAATAAGCAAAATGTGGAAAATCCTTATTAAAACTAAAATGTGGTATTATGCATTACCTTAGATTTATTATCAACATCCAATCTGATTATAGGAGTACATCTTTAGAGAAAAAACATAGCTATGTGAACATTGAAAAGCTTGATTGGGTATGGCCATTTTTGGGGTATCTTAAATAGTTAATTAACTATTTACGCATTCAGTCAACAAGCATGAACTGAATATTTCTAGCATCTTGTCCAACCATATTAATGTCTCATGGCTAAGAGAAGTATATTAGGTGCATGCACGAAAATGTATTTTTACACTTTAATTATAGGTGATAGAAATTTACTACTGCCTTCATCCCTAAAAGGCCCGCCAACTTTGATTTTGTGGTCGTATATATGAAACAATGAACAACAATATATTCTATTCCAAAAAATAGAATATGAAAGTAGAAAATGTTCTTTATTCAAAATACTCACAAAGTATACAAATTTTCATTAAAATGTGCCGATTATAGACATTGATCAATATTGAAAAGGTTAGGCCAAAAATGAAAGTTGACAAACCTTTAAGGAAGGAGGCAGTATATAATACATAAACTGATCAAAAGTAAGAGCCGAATCTTGGCATTGCACACACTTACCCATTGAATGACCAAAGATATGCGCTTTTTCCCAACCTAAGTGATCCATTAAAGCTATTGCATCTTTGGCCATAATTCTTGTTCTGAAACAGAAAACGTGACACAATAAGTTCAACTTCTCAACTAATGCCTATGGTAGTCCACAACGGCACAACCTATACACAAAAACCCAGAAACTTCGACTTTACCATGTCCAAAAAAATACAGTGATTAAATATCTATGCATAAATCAAGTTCTAGCAAATGATGTACTACATATTTACTTTACAGATAACATCTCCCTGTTATTGTAAAACAGGAATGCATCAATTTATTTGGACTTCTAAACATTACTAGGCTTCTTAAGACTATCTTCAATTCTGCCAGCATATTTGTATCCCAAAAATCCAAGATTAAGAAAAACCAACTTTGGAATCGCTTTCTTCCCACTAATGTGGTGCTAAAAGTTATTTTCCCTACCATGATAATCGAATTCCCAGAATACCCAAAATCTATAGACGCGAAACACATTATAAACCCAATGTCTGAAATGAAACTCACGTATATTGATATTTTTTCATGGGCACGGAGCTCAAACCCATTCCACGATTATCGAAAGCACAAACTTCAATGTTTCCATCACCACCGTCGTCGCCGGAGCTCATATCGCCTGACGGAGATTCGTAGTCATTTGGATACACCGTCCCAGCGAGCTCCTTGATTTGCGGAATCCACGAATCATGCGTTCCCGCCAATCCTAGTGATCATCATCCAAACCAGCTCAAACCACATAAAATTCAGATCTTCTTAGACAATTTAGACATTTAAACATAAAATTGGCTTCTCTTAAGAGAGAGAAATTTGTCAATACCAATAATCATGAGGACCTTAGCTGGTCCCTGGCCGTAAGTCCTGTAGAAAATCTTGATGCCTTTGTTTTTAGCAGCATCCTCGTCGTTTTGATACTTTCCCACCTCACAGATTGGCATACTCACGCTCTCCAAATGAACAAACTTTACAGCAAAATTAAAAACAAAATTAAGAATTACTCCGTATGATACTCTCCGTTAGCTGAATACTTCTCCGGCCAAAAAAATGGAGAGAAAGTGTGGAATCAGAGAAACTTTAAATTCTAATTTTCTTGAGTATTAATTAAATTAAATAGAAATAAGATCCGGCAAGGCAAAGCCGTAGTGGACTAGTCCAACTACGCGTCCACACATGTTATGACGAAAGAAAATTGGCAAAAAACGAAATTTGTACGGAGTATTATTCTCTCATTTCCTGTTTTAATTTTTATGAAATACTCCGTAATATTGAAATTTGCATTATAATGATATTTATTTAATTTTATAGTAATTTAAACTACATTTTTATATCTAAAGAAAAACTCTTATTTATTTGTATATACTTCCTCCGGTTCCGAAAGATCTTTACACTTTTCATTTTTAGCAGTACCAGAAAGATCTTTACACTTCCTTATTTGCCTTATTTGGCAAATAAATCTACACAAAACAGTGTCAAACAATGTCAAACAGTGTTTATTTCCTTAAAAACTGTGAAGTCAAAGTGTCAAGATCTTTTGGAACAGTAAAAAACAGATGTTGCTAATTATCCTTGCGTCCCAAATTGTAAAGCTGAGTGTACCAGACATTTTGGTGCTAATAAAAGCTGATTGTAGTATTGTACCAAACATTTTGGTGTTAATATTTTTCGTAAACAAGAAATGTGTACACATTTACACATTCATTCTATATTTCTATACATTTAAGATTAACTATGGAGTATGGGGTGCTATATATAAAATTATAAAAAAAAATTAGAGCTTTATTGTGGCCTTGTGGGTGCGTAAAGCATATTTTTTCCTATTACATTTATTTTTTAAAATAAAATGAGACGCGGATAGACTAGAGAGATTTCAACGTAGTGATTTTCAAAAACTAAGATCGAAGATTAGCGTAAGACTCAATTACAATAACAGATTGACCACGATACCTTTACTTTTAGAAAATAACTGACATTAAATAGACAATAAATAGATAATATGTAGACAATAAATAAACAATAAATTCTGATAACAATAATTTGATTGCAGAGCAAGAAAGAAAAGAGATGGTTCGATGTTTCCAGTGATGAAACTGCTTTGAGAGGTCGTCAAGAGGCATGGCGGCAACGGCAGAGGAGGTTAAGGGAGGAGGTCGCCGCCGGAGGAGATCGACGAATGTGGTTGTTTCCGAAGGAGATCAATGGAGGATGTAGTCAACGAAGACGCCTTAGCTTGACGCTGTTGGCGGCGGAGTTCACTAGTGGCGCCGCTAGTGGGCGACGGCAACGGATTGCAGTGGTTCCACTGTCAGTGTGCGGCGGGGCAATGTGGAATGATCATCGGTGCAATTTGTTGATTGCCCCAAGTTTCATCTTCAATAAGCAGTTTAAGGTGGAGGGTAGAAATGGAAAAAAAATAAGGTTCCTAAAACTAGAACTAAATAGAGCATACGGATGTAAAAAAAACTAAGTAGGTCCTAATCATATAAATTGATTTGGTCCTATTTTGCACAATTTTCTCCATAGACTATTACATACCAAGTGTATAGAATAGTTCGTTTAAAACATTCTAATTTAATTTGATTCGTTTGCGTCTGATTTGAACGGATATGATCTACTCCCTCTGTTCCGCTAACAATGGAACAAGAGGGAGTGACACCCAAATTATTTGCTAACCTTTCAGTAACCACAGTTTCATATAGGGATGGACTCAATTCGGGCCGGGCCCGATTCGGGCCTTGAACCGGCCGGGCCTCGGTTCAAGGTATGGGAGGCCCGGAACCGACCCGAGTAACCCCCGGGTCCGGGCCGGGCCTCGGTTATATTTTTTTTTGGCTTCTCCTAGTTAATCCCCAACCCTCCCCCTCACCCCCAAACCAACCCTAACCACCTCAAATGGCCCAAAATATCCAACCCAACCCAAAAACTTAAAAAAAAAATCAAAAAAAGAAAAAAAAATGGCCCGGCCCGGGCCCGAACCGGCCGGGCCAGTTCACCCTTGGCCCGAGCCCGAACCGAGATCCCACCGGGCTGGTGGCCCGAACCGGCCAACCAACCGGTTCACCGGGTCGGTCCGGGCCCGCACAGTAGCGGGCCGGTTCAGTTCCGGGCCGGTTGGCCCGGCCCGAGTCCACCCCTAGTTTCATATAATGTACACAAAATATATTTCAAATATAACTTTTTTCATAATTCAACAACCTTAGCCATTTTAAATCTTACCAAAACATAATATCACACAACTATTTTTTAAGATTAACATGAGACAATTTGTATTGTGATGCCATAACTTATTCCGATTCTGATTCTGCTTCTTTTTTAAAGCAGAAGCAGAATCAGAATCAGTTTTCAAAAGCTGGTCACCCTCAGCTTCTAAAAAAACTGATTCTATGAGTAAATTAGAGCACCAGAATCATTTCTGCACTTTCACCCAAACACTCCAACTTCTGTTTCTGCTCCCTGAAGGAGCAGAAGCAGTTTTAAGAATCAAATCCAAACGCCCCCTATGTCTTTCAAATATAGAGAAGAGAAATAACCCATGAACCGGAAAATTTGCATATACACCCCTCACCTCTTTGAAAATTAAGCAATCATATCCTTTTCACCTGTTGGTGCCGGTAATTTCTCACCTTCTTACCTGCACCAGCAGATAAAAAGGGATATGATTGCTTAATTTTCAAAGAATTGAGGAGTGTATTTGCAAGTGTTCCAGTTGATGGGCCCAGTTGATGGGCCTAATTGCAGAACGGCAAAAGTTCGACAGCTTATTTGCCTCTTTTCTCTCAAATTATATGGTTGCAACACTAAAAATGTTTTTTGTTCTTTGGGCTCTAAATACAAGTATACAATAAAAAGAAATGTGACATCTACCAGCTCACAAAGTTGGCTATCATAAACAGAACTCAGCAAAATTCCTTGGACTACAGGAAAACCGCAGAGCATTCTACTTTTTCATCCTACCAATTCTCTAACATTAGAAAGTGCCATTGCTGGCTAACATTTTGTTGCCATAGTGAAAGACAAGTCTCAACTCTGATCCTGAAGAGAGTTACTAACTTCTGGCAGAGATCTGTGTAAACCATCAAAGCTGCTTCATGAATAGAACCATAATAAAAAAGGTGCAAACCATACAAAGAAAATGAAGACCCTATTAAAAAGAAGCATATCATATTTATTTCAAGATTTGCATCATAACAGATGGATAGAGGCAATGCCAGCTGCGCCGGGACAGCCCTTCACACAGATAAACATAATAAAGCAGAAAAAAAAGAATTTAAAAAGGCTTTTACCAATATATATCAGCAGTTCCATTTCTTATTCGTGCAAGATCTAGGTGCATTTTGGTACTACGATGGCCACATATCTACATGGGGGGTGTAACCTTCAGGTCCCACTTCAATCTCGGAAATACTTGGCAAAGAAAGAAGGGAACAAATTTCGGAAGAAATAGAACTAATATGATTAATATCTCAAACTTAGATAAATTGTACTCCCTATAAGATTTTAGAATATTTGTTGGAACTTGTTCCATTTATTTATTTCTATTAATAAACAGAAACTAAAGAATCTTATGTGTGTAATAAAATGTAAAATGTTAATTAGATTTTTTTCAATAAAATTTTACAAGGTAAACCCAAAATTTATAAAACAACTTCCCTTAGCGTTTGTTTTTCTTTTGCATATTCATTATGCAGGATCTAAACATACCCTTCATATTTGACAGCAAGCTTGTACTTTTCTCTAAGATGGGTCAATCTTCTTTCCAGAGGGAGTTTCTCGTGTTTCAACCCTAATCTTGTCATGTAGTGTACAACCTTTTTAAGCATTTCCATGACCTGTTCACTGTCGCTGCCAAAAGCTTTCTCTTGAATCCTCAAAATTCTCTTGAGATGTTCTAACAACTTATCGTCATCTTTTTCTTGTTTTTTCTGAATGGAAACTAGACAGTCAAGAGCCTCCCCTGCATCACCACATAACGTTAAGGTTACAATAAATCACAAGTGTACTTCTTGAAGTATAGGTATCTACAAAATCCACTTGTAGACAAAGTAGAATGAGTCATTAATTTGGAGTTACGAAAAAATGTCCTCATATAGTATCCAATAAAAAATGTATCAGTTCTTAATGCTTTGTTATGATAAAGATATAAGTATGAAGGAAGAGGTAGTAAACGAAGTAGGAGAAATGAGAAATTGGTGGATTTTTCAGGTGTTTGGATTGAAAAAATTTGAGTTTCTCTTCATTTGTATTTGGTTGGATGGAAGAAAGTGATGAGAGAAAATAAGTTTCTGGTGGAGTCATAGCTTCCTTTAATTGTGCGATAGACTTATAATTTTGATCATCTCCTATTTCCTTCACATAAAATGGTTAGTGGGTCCCAAGCAAGAACTTTCTTTAATCTATACTGCTATATTCAACCAAACATCATAAAAACTATAATTCCTCACCCCCATTTTTCTCTTCTAAAACTTCATCAAACCAAAGAAAGGGTAATACACTAAGGTGTTATTCTCCCAACTTTTTCTAGACAAAGGTCTTACGAAGGGAGTAGTAGTCTAGTACAGGGAATTTCCAAAAATATGGGAGATTTGAAACTCCCATGCAAAAAGATGGGACTTTTGTTTAGGTAGGAAAAATCATAATTCGGAAGGCCCTATTCAGAGCTTATAATATATTTTCAACAAATAAAAATTAATCGGTCATAATTTTAACATTGTATACCAACGTGTTCTCCAAGAGGTTAGACGAGGGGATTTTCCGATATGTATTTTACATGTTAAATATAATTTAAAATTAAGTGGTTTAATGAATTGGTACACTAATTATTATCGATATTCAAATAAATTAGTTAAATTTTGATAGGAATATGGCTTAGTAGGCTATTAATAAGAAATAATAATAATAATAATAATAGTAGTAGTAAAGGTACTTGTAGTAGTATTGTTAGAAGGGAGTAATAAGGGGTTTTGGGGGTAAAATTAGCTAAGAAATTCAGTTTGGTCCCTGCGTGGACTTTTACTATAAATAGAAGTGGGGGTAGCTAATGAGGGTAGGCTGTTATTTGATTTGAGTGTTGCCTTGGAGAGTGGGCTTCTCGAACAGTCCCGGTTGCCTAAGAGTCCCGATACTTGTTGCCTAAGTCGAAGCTTGCTTCATCAATAAACTACTATTTCCCTCTTTGTTATCAGATCTGTTTTGCGTGTTATTGCTTTTGCTGAGATTATTCTCAGGATCCTATCAATGGTATCAGAGCAATTCTCCTGGGGATCGGATTGAAGTGGCGACTTATTAACTTCCTGGAGCTATGGAAGAAGTCTGGACACCAGAAATGGAGGTTCGCATGGGTTAGTTGGAACAGGAGATGAAAGCTGCTTTTGCAAACCTCTTGACGAGGAGTCAACAGATTCAGAACAGTATCGTGACTTCTATGGCAGCGATTTCAGCTTCCGTCGCCGCGAAGAAGGAACAAAGGGGAAGATCACGATCATCGCATCGTTCGGCTTCTAACAGTTCGCAGATGCGAACTAAGTCTTCTGGAGCGTCGCGAAGTGCGCAGGTTCAGTCGCGAACTTCATCGTCTTTGTCAACAGCTCTTCCCTGTTCGCAAGCGTCGTCAGGAGCAGATCTCCTCAGTTCATCGGCCCTGGCGCGTACAGCCTCTCATAGGTCGCAGACTCTAACGCACACTATTTCTCAGAGTACGCAGGTTTTGTCACCATCAGATTCTCCTGGTTCGCAGCTTAAATCTGGTAATCAACGGCAACCTCAGCTTAAGTCTCATAATTCGTCTCCAGATCCTCCACGGCAGACTTCTGCGTTCGTCTATCCTCACAGTTTGCAGACTTCCTCTCTATCTGTTGTTCTGAGTTCTCAGGATGAGACACATTCGGCTTCTCCCAGTACAGCCATGAAAAATGAATCTGCTGATGATAATTATAAAGTGGAGAATAAGGTGGGTCCTGAAATCTCTATAGAGGGTGAATATTCAGCTGCACCTACTAGTATGGGAAAGCTGGTTGGAAATATAGAAGTGGAACACTGCCTGCTTGGAAAAATTGTTAACGCTTCTATCTCCTCACTGGGGCTAATAAGGTTGGGGGCAGATCAGGACAGGGAAGCAAGGAGGTTTCAGGAATCCTTCTGTAATGGAATGTTGGGAAAACAGTTTACATGCGCATCAGACCATAGTTCTGAATGGTTGTACATTGATTGGAAGGGAATTCCTCCCTCTATTCCTGCTGTGGAATATGAGCATAAAAATGCTTGGCTTAATGCTGAGTTGTTTGAAACTAACAGGTGGAATGGTTTTCGCCATAGAAATGATTTGGATGCAATAGGTACTGATTATATAGAACTGATCCACAGAGCCAATATATCAGCTGATAGAAATAGTGTGAGGAGTATGGTTGTGGTTGCTATCCGATCAGGAAGAGTCTGCTCTAGATTGGAAGCTGTTCTGGGTTCATCCTCTCGCATCCCATTCAAAGGAAGCACTGAAGATGCACCATCTACATATTCATCAGATGATGACTACGTCCCGAAACAGAACCTTCTTAAGTGGCCTGGCAGTCCCACTTTTGATGCTAAAAAGGGAAAAGTTTGTGATAGTATAAGCACTGTGTGTGGAAATATACCTCAAAAGGATCCCAGCAATATCCAGCAACATAGTAGATGGATTATATACATGGTAAAGGCTGTCCAGTGGGCTAGCATTCAGTTGAGAAACACAGCTATGGAGATCGTTTTCAACGACTCTACTGCTCCAAGGTTTTTCAATTTTGTAACCCAAAATGATGCAAAGGATATTGGCAGCTGGATTATTACAAACAGAGATAAATCAATGTCTCCCAAAAGGTACAGAGACAAGACAAAAACTATTTCGTTGGTTGATCAACGTGTTGCACTGGAAGTGGTTGAAGTCTATAAGGGAAGTTGGCAGAGAAAAGAGAATACTAACTCTCAGCACTTGATGATTCTTAACAAACATGCTGGAAGATCTTACAATGATTTAACTCAGAGTTTGGTATTTCCTGGGGTTATGGCTGACTATTCATCAAGGAATTTTTGGTACTCAGGTGTTCCTTTTCGTAGCTGCAAACCAAAAATGCTTTCAGAAAGTCTATTTGAGTGCAGATCAACCATTTTGGATAGCAAGAGGTTTGTAAAGGTATTTGTGCATAATTTGGAAGAGTTGGCATATTGTGCCATTGCTTTTCTGCAAATAACTGAGCAGCCGATTCACACATGGTTGATGGATGCTAATCCATTCCTGGCTGGTGAGGAGGATAATATTCAAAGTTGGCAAGATTCTGGGGCATTGTTACTGGAAGAAGTGATAAATTCTTGTGGCGCAGCAGGAGTGATCCTCAAAGACAATGACCGCAATGAGATGCAGGAATTACTTGGGTGTGAAAATAATCAGGTGAGGAACATGAAGATGAAGGTTCAGGTGCTGTACTGGGAAGGTAGAGGTGTAAGACTGAAGAGGAAGATGAAGATGAAGTGGAAGATCATGGCTGATTCCTATCACCCACCTTGAGGACAAGGTGGTTGTTTAGGGGGGGAGTATTGATAGGAATATGGCTTAGTAGGCTATTAATAAGAAATAATAATAATAATAATAGTAGTAGTAAAGGTACTTGTAGTAGTATTGTTAGAAGGGAGTAATAAGGGGTTTTGGGGGTAAAATTAGCTAAGAAATTCAGTTTGGTCCCTGCGTGGACTTTTACTATAAATAGAAGTGGGGGTAGCTAATGAGGGTAGGCTGTTATTTGATTTGAGTGTTGCCTTGGAGAGTGGGCTTCTCGAACAGTCCCGGTTGCCTAAGAGTCCCGATACTTGTTGCCTAAGTCGAAGCTTGCTTCATCAATAAACTACTATTTCCCTCTTTGTTATCAGATCTGTTTTGCGTGTTATTGCTTTTGCTGAGATTATTCTCAGGATCCTATCAAATTTATATCATTTAAACTAGTAAAGTTAAAAAAAGTAGTGAAATGAGTATAAAGTAATATTATATTGATAATACTAGTTGCATTATATGGATGCAAATAAAGGTGAAAATTAGAAATTTACTTTTAAAAAAAAGTAATTTAGTAGTTTAGATGAAATATCTTTATATGTATTTCTTTGATAGTACAATTTTGAAATTTCTACTTTCTACACTCAAAAACTTGTTTCAAGATCAGACAACTCGAACTATAAACAACTCTATAGTGGTGATGTTGAATCATTCACCAGCATGACAGTGACGACACAATAGACACCACATGGGTCAATGTGGAGCTAGACGAACCATATGTTGAGCTTGTATTTCGTAAGCCACAAACAGTTGTAATCGGCGTGATATACAGTACATATGATGGATTAGAAGAAGTCTTGACCAGAGAAAACATTTGTCAATACTGGTTTTTCCAATCCAATAACAAACTTGCACTGTCGTGGAAGGTGATATGCATCTACTCAGACGTATGCACTTAGCATATCCAAGCAACTGGAGAAGATCAAAACTCAGAGTTATACCATAGCTCGGGATGACTGGATTCTGACGAGTAAGATCATAACGATTGAGATCACTCCAAAAGTGCAGGCGGATCTGAACTATAGCATAAAACTCATTTGAGAGAAATTTAAGACCATGATGGATACAAAGGGGCTTGGTATAGACGCTTGATTGCTTTGAAAGCAATAAAATATTCAAGTTCAGAGAATCTTGTTCAAATCCAATCAACACTTGTGGGAGATACAAATTCTGTCAAGCGTTTGGATCATTCAAAACTTCAATTAACGGTATCTCTTGTTTTCTATTTATAGTCTCGGTTGACGATGCTCACTTGTGCGATAAATACAAGAGTGTTCTCCTAGTTGCAGTGGCCAATAGTTGGTCAAGCTTCTTTCAAAGGGTTATGTCGGGTGTGTGAAACTCATTGTCGAGATTGTATAATCTTTGATCGCCATGTGGGAATCAAAAGTGCGTTTCAAAATGTTCCAGAATTACAATCGTCACATGTTTCGAAGCGTTACTGCATCCGTTATATACGGAGCAATTTTATGACGAAATTCAGGAACATGGAGTTGAAATAGGTCAAAAGCTATACTAGCAAGCCAACAGCACATCCATTGTCCCTATAAATATACATTACAAATAGAATATTCCTATATAAGATTCTATACAATCATAATATCTATGGTATATTCCTAATATATTCTAAAGCATATTCTAAAGTATATTCTAATATACTTTCACACACCTCACTCATAAGCGTGACGTTCGATAGAGTTGTCCAACTCTTTACGGATCGACGCAACGTTGAACTTATGTGGCAGCAAGATGAGTTCTTATATACACAAAACATATGGAAGGAGGTCGGGAGAGGTCGCAACGTAGGCAAGACAGTAATATTACCCGCACATAAGGGATTTACTTTGTTGTCATATGTGGACATGGACCCGTATAATAACAGAGTAAATCCTTATTACGTGGGATAACATTATTGTGTAACCTACGCTGTGATTGCTCAAAAACCTCATTACATATGTTTTGTGGATATAAGAACCTAACTTGCTGCCACATAAGTCCAGTGGTGCGTCAATCCGCAAAAAGTTCGACAACTTTATCGAACGTCGCGATAATGTGTTAGGTTATATGCCTTTAACACATTATTAAAACTTTTAAAAAGGTTTGTCATAACTAAGTGCCCACATTTCGACAGAAAATATACTCCGTATAAAGGAATTCTCACTTATGCCTATTATTTGATGCATAGATTCATGTTGTTCCCGGATGATATGAGTGTTACTGACTTGCCGGCATAGCTTTTTCAACTCGTTGTTCCTCAATTTCATCACAAAATTGCTCTTTATATGACAGCAACAATAACACTTCGAAACTTGTAATGAATGCAATTCTGAAATATTTCAAAACGCCCTTTCGACTCTGAATGGCGATCGAAGATTATACAAACTTGACGATGTCTTTCGATCACACTTCACATAACCCTGTGAAAGAACCACGATCAACTACTTGCATTTTCACCCTCCACAACAACATACGCGAGAGAGAATATCTCACGATTAGCGTTCATGGACACCACAACTATGAGAACACCCTTGTACTTGTACAAGTGAGTACCGTCAACCGAGATTACAGGTAGACAGTGACAAAAGACGTGAATTGAAGTTTTGAATCACCAGAATGTTCTACAAAATTGAAATTCTACAAAATTGGTGCCTGTGTGGAGTGTTGGTCGGCTTTATTTTGATTTGAACAAGACTCTTAGATTTGAATATCTTATTGCTTCTAACAACTTAGGTACTTCATTATATGACGTCTCTCAATTGACGAGTCTACACCCCAGAACGATCAAACGGCCATAACAAGTTTTTTTTATCAAACATGGATTTGAAATTTTTCATAGATGAGTTTGACGCTTTAGTCCAATCCGTCGGCGCTTTTGGAGAGATCTCACTTGTTATGATCTTACTCGTTAGGATCCTGTCATCCGAGTTATGGTATAAACCGATCTACAGCTATGGAGGGACTGATATTTATTCACTTTCCACACCACCTTCCACGACGTTCTCTTTTGCCCCGGCATCTTCTAATGCATTATATGAACTATATATCGTGCCGACCACAATCGTTTGTGGTTCACGATATACAACATCAACATATGGTTTGTCTAGCTCCACATTGACTCATGTGGTGTATACTACCTCGTCATTGTCATCGCTACTGGACGATTAAGCATCACTGCTACAAAGTTGTTCATAGTTCAGGATGTCAAACTCTTAAAATAAGTTTTTAGAAAGTAGATATAAGTAACATTAAAACAGTTAGGTAGAGAACTTGGCTATAGAGTGAGTACATTTACAGAATGTTATATTCCGAACGGAATATCATTAAAAGTTTAACCACTTTAACTTTAAATAAAAGTCTGACCTATAAACTTTTTTTGAAATTATATTACACACTCGGTATGGGGCAGTCCGACCATTTTTTTCCTAAACCCTATTCTATTTGGGATAGGGCCTTCTGAAATGTGTTTTTTCGTACCCTAAACCAAAGTCCCGTTTTTTGCATGGGAATTTCAAAACACCCATATTTTTGGAAAGGGGTTTTTACCTCAATATTAATAATAAGTGGATCATTGACAAAAAAGTAACCTTTTATTCAATTTTCCAAAAATGTGAATGAAAATACTAACAGTACAATTACGACCTACAGTGACATTGCTACAGTGATGGTTTTATAGTGACACCACCACAATGACAATTTTAGAGTGACAACACCATAGTGATTCCAGTGTAACCACCCGCCCACAGGCTACAGTGACACCGCCACAGTGACACCGCCCCAATGACACGTCGTCTCCGGCTATAGTGACACGCCGTCTCCGGCTATAGTGACACGCCGTCTCCCCATCCCTCCCCTGCTTCTCACTGCACCTCAGCACCGTCCCTGGCCTATCCCGCCCAAGCGCCGCCACTGACCATCACCATAGACCACCGCCCCTAGCCATCACCGCCTGCCACCGGCTTGACTCCCCAGCCCCAGACACCTTCCTCCCTCCGATCCCACAGCCACCTCGCCACCCCAAGCCCCCTTCCATCCCCCATCCTGATGCTCAGCTCCCCCAGCTCTTCCACCCATCTCCATGGCCCCAGTCTCATCTCCACAACCCCACAGAACCCTCCCCCAGCCCCGCCCAGGAATGATGCACCACAGCCCCCACCCAACAGCGGTGCACCACAGCCCCTCAAGCCTCGCCCTACCTTCAGCCTTGCCCCAGCTACCTCTCTACCCCTACCCCAAATTTGATCTGAAGCTCAGATCTTATAATAAGAAGGAAGAATCCAAAATTGATCTGGAATCCCTGATTTGCTGTCAAGAAAGGAGAAGAAGAAGAATAAAGGGCTGGTCGGAGAGATGCAAAGGTCTGATGGCATCATCGTTGAAGAAGGTCGACGCCGAGGAGATGCAACAGAGGGGAAAACCGGCAGCTTGGAGCGTCAGAGAGAATGGCACCGGCTGTGCGAAGAGAGAAGCCTCCGTCCTCCGTCCGGTGTGAAGAGAAGCTCCGTCCTCTGTCCTGTGCGTGCGAAGATCGAGTGCAAAGAGGGAGAGAGGGTCTTCTACGGAGAAATCAAAGGACTGGGGAGAAAGTGTGGGTCACATTTTTGTCCAAATTCAAAATGGTCATATTTTTGTCTATGTAAACTCTAGGGGTAATATTCATGCCATTGTTTCTTTTGGAAATTCCCCCAAAACCAAACATTCAGACCAAACGTTACATTTAGGGCAGAAATATAAGACAAGATTAGAAACATCATTATGATCATACCATGCCAGAAAGATTGAGACCAAACCAGAAACATCAAAACCAACAAGAAAGATTCAGACAGGGCCATGAAAAATGCAGTTCATAATCTTCAGGTGAAAATAAGAGGTCCTAATTTTTTATAATAAAACTGCAATCAATATAGTAATGAATCAACAGGAGCTCACCAACGGGGAGAGAGTCTTTTCCAAATGCCTTCTCGCGAATATGTAAAGCCTCAAGTGCATACTTCTCGGCTTCCTCAACTTGGTTTAGATTGTAGAGAGTGATCGCAAGATGCAGCAATGGAAAGCTAACAGCCTGATCATCAGGTGGCAGGGCCTTCAGCATAATCTGCAAACTAATGCGCAGCAACTTCTCTGCTTCAACATAATTTTTGGACCGATAATAAGATGTGGCCAGATTTACAAGATGGGTTACATAGGTTGGGTGGTCTTTCCCTTTATATTTTTCAGTGATCAGCAAGCATTCCTCTAAAAGGGAACGGCCTTCATCCTCCCTGAAAGGTAGAAATCAACGAGAAAATGTGTGGTTGTGTATGTACGCAAATATACATGAAGAAACAGTTAAAGGTCTGTTTGGATAAACAGTACTGGAAGGGGTGGTGGGTATAAACAGTTTCCTAGTGTCACCTCTTATAGTAAATATGCAAATGATGAAGCTTCTTCATATTATCAACCATCAACATATCAAGATTTTTATTATCAACAAGCAAGTGGTGGATTTTATGATTATGTTTTCATCCAAGGATCTTCTCATGATGATAGTCAAAGTGAAACTAGAGGTTGTGATCCCCAGTGACATTTCACCATGTGGTTAAAACAATCATGTAAGTTACTATATTTCTTCTTAACATTATTATCATTAATTTATTATCATTATTGTTGTTGTTGTTGTTGATTTATTAACTCATTTGACTCATTGCAATATTGTCAATGTAACACTTGGAACTATTTGTATCATGTCAGTACATGTTGAACTGTTTTTGTTATAGTCATATAATGTAAGGATATAATTAATTGTGTCTGTAATAATTATTTAGTTTAGCAATCTTTCTAATCATTATTCTCTTTTAAAATTTTGATGTTCACAAATAAGTGTTTAAAGAAGTATTCATAATGCATTATAAAAAGAAGAAGTATTCATAATGCTTTTATTAATTTTATCATCCATTAATTCAAATAAACTAATTTATGTTAAATATAATTAATAGAAGATTTATTAAAGATACAAAAAAAGATCATGGTATTCCTATCTGGTGCGAACTTGAAAATATTTCATGCCTCATCGGCAATATGTGTCGCAACATCCGCATTAGCCGCAACACCGCTACCGCAATTTAAAACCTTGGTGGCTACACGGAAATCTTTGAGCATTTTATTTAATGTTTTAAAAAGTACATTGATCCATGGAAGGTATGCATACACAAGTCTTCCACACATGCACACACGTTTCAATATATGGACCAAGACCTCCAAACCATTCCTCTCCCAACCACTCCATACAAACAGATACTATATTTTTCAGGCTAGGTTGTGAAGTTCTGCATGACTTGATATATGCCTTTTCAATATCATTGTAGAGCCACAACCTGCCATATATGTATTAATGGCTTAAAATACTACATCCTTAACCTGTGGGAAAACAGGTTCCTCCCTTGTCAGAAATCCTGTTTATATTTTTATAATATTTAGTTAGCTTAACACTTTAACTACATCATTTTAATCTTGTTTGTAACCTTTTTTGGAAAACAACAGAAGATATTAGCTTTATTTGATCAATGAGAAGTCTTTTTTAATCATATCTTTGAAACAAGGGTCTTCTTTTCGGACAGAGGGAGTAGTAAATTAGTAATAAACTCTGATGGAAAAAACAATTTGAAGTATCAGAAAAGGCTGTCTTCCCTTGGTATTTACTCTAGTACCACACAAAATTACCTTCCTACTAAATGAAGTAACTCTGCCATGTCTGTTCGTATCTTCTCCATAACTTTGTCGTCTACTGCGTGTTCATAATCTTTGAGCACCTGAAGAGCCTTTCTGTATATATCAATGGCTTCATCCATAATTCCTGTACAAGTCCAAGAAAGTAGTAAGTTACTGTTAACACATCCCCCTTAGTCTGAATTTCAGCACAAGAGACAACAGAGAACTGCAAGGTTTACCTTTCCTAAATTTTGCACTTGCAAGAGAACACAAAGCCAATCCTACTTTTATATCATTTTCACCATACAAATTCTTGTAGATACTTATGACTCTACAACACACATAGATGAGGGGGAAAAGACAAAAAAGTATTACAAAGAATTAATAGCCAAGAACCAAAGACTGCCAAGAACAACGCAAGAAAAAATATCACCTTTGAAACGCAGTTTCAGCATCTGCTGCTCTTCTTTCCTCCAGTAAAAGGTTGCCTAAAGCAAATAAAGGCACCACTAGTTCTTCACTTTCAGTGCCCTGGCTAGATTCCAATATTGAGATTGCACGATGGTATGTTTCTATAGCTTTTCTAGCCCTACCTACAGAGCCAAGAGCTTTTGCCATTCCTAACAATGGAACGATGATGAAAAAATTTGTTTCCCCTGCCAAGTTGGAAAATTTGTATATATCATGAATTTCTTTCTACTACCAGACACCAGTATATTTAACCTCGTAAAAAATTCACCATATCTTCTTTCCGTTATTGCTAGTGCTCTTCTGTATGATGATAATGACATTTCAAATTTCCCTAATTTATCATATATGCTTCCCATATGCATCAGTATTGAGTCTAACAGAGGTACATCATCATTCAAATCTTCAACGATCCCGCTCAACTGCCAATAAGAAAAAACATGGGTAAATAATTAAATATATGGATCAAAAAGAATAAAGAGACAACAGGGAGGATTGGAGCTCATAAAAATGAGGTTTTTTATAAATAAGATAAATTACCAGATGCAGTATGGATCCAACGGTGTTTAGGTCACCAAGGGCCATGTGGCCCAATGCTATTATGTCAAGAACAGCTGCCTCTTCTATTCCTCTAAAACCACAATCTATCTGTTCTTTAATCGCTTCATAATTTGCTTGAAGTAGATCAACAGCATCATTTCTCTTTCCTGACTTTATCATGATATTTACTTCATTAAAGAGATCATGCAATTGCTCTTCGAGATCATTAATACAGCTCAAATCACTTTTTAAGCAGTTTCCCATATTTCTAGACCTACAACAAAAGCAGGCATGGATAAATATATATAACCGGTATGAACTGCATTCTGCACCAGAATTACATTAGAGTGTCTGGATATTTTCCCAGTAACACAGTTCAATCAACTCATGCTGTAAGGGAAAAAAAAATTACCAACATCAGGATCCACTAACAAATGTACGGCGTAATTTATAATGAAAGAAAATAATAAAGATTCAACCTTTTCAAGACTTTAATCATATGGAACAAAATGCAAATGCATCCAGATAATGTAAATGGAAAAATGTGCGACGAAAAAGTTCATACCATTCTGATGTAGCTTCGTTCAGCACATCGGAAGTGACATGTGTCAGAACATCGGACGCAGAATAAGTTGTTCTAAGCAGAAAGGAAAGCTTAACATTGCACCTTTTTCTTGGGCGAGTACTATAGAAAGACAACACGGCTTTCTGCAATTGACCAAAATAGGTGTGTATCCTGAAAATGCAATGACATAGGTACTGCAAAAGTTTATAGAAGAAAAGAAAGAAGCCACAAAAATGGAAAGGGGATACAGAAATTAACCAGCAGAACTTTGTAGAATAGGATGAGTTCCCAGGGCAGAGATAAGATGTCATGTCTGTAAGTGCAGCTCAATGGTCGGATAGCGTAGAACGGTGGTTGGGAAGTGGGAACTTTATCGGTGTTGAATGGGCTGAAATTTATAAAGGTGTAACCTTATCAGTTGATTCCGGTGATTCTGCGGAATCCCAAAAAAAATTATTAAAATATTTGTTATTAATAAATTAAATAAAAATTATATGAAAAAAATGTTGGGTGTGTTTCGAAAAACAAAGAAAATTAATTAATAAAATTAACTAATAAAATGACTTAAAGGAAAAAGTAAAACAAGAAATGAGATGAAGCAGAATAAGCCAAAGCTCGTGCTACGCACGATTTCCTTAAAACGTATTTGTTGCCTTTCGGGGTGCTAGGAGTGTTGCAAAGATCGTTTCCCAGGATACGATGACTTCGAACAATAGTTTCGCACTCAAACTAAAGTTCCAACGAACGTGAACAAAGGTCAGAACACAGAAGAGTTTGTATGGAATGCTAGATGTGGTTTTAGCTCTCAAAATATGTGTACGAAGTGTATGAAGGTTGTGTGTTTGCAAAGCACCTGCCAGCCTATTATAGGGGTGGATTATGGTGTGTTAATGGCTGTTTAAGGCTTGTGAACGTTGGACATCAATGTCTTAATCGTTGGGCATTGATTCCAGCCAATAAACAGCCCAAAACGTTCATATGAACGTTGGGACTTCAATGGCAGTGTTGGGCATTTATGCTGCAACGTTCCAGTTCAGCATGGAGCAAAAATAAAATAGGAACGCATCGGAAGAACAAAAATTAACCTTATCTTCATAAGATAGATTTTCGGACGGCATTCGTGTGTGCAGGTCGCCCGCACACGCAAGTCACGCTTTTTGTTCTTCGGTTTCGGGATTTGATTCGCACCCCCCTGCGCGCGTGAGAGAGCATTTCCCTTTAGGAAGCTTAACTCCTTAGGGGGGGTCCCTTTATAAAGGGTTCAAATTCCCTTGTGATTTTCGGTGTAGGAAAAATCCCCACACTAAAACCCACATTCTCCTAGTTTTCTCCATTCCAACGGGTAAACTTCGAAAAGCGATTTCTCATTCACCCGTTATCCGTTTGAGTGTACCGTATATCGAATTGTAGCCCTTAGCAAGGACAATCCGAAACCACTTTGACCCGACCCAAATCGGAAGTGGACTCCACTCAAATAATTGCCCCAAAATGATCATTTAATGCAATTTGAACACATTTTTTCTAACAAAAATAGCTAAAATGATCCTCTACGGTAACTTCAACCAATACAGCCAGAAAAGTAACTTCAATCTTACTTTTTCAGCTTATTACGAAATTGAGCGCGCGAAATCAAAAGTTACGTGATTAGTGAAAAAGTTGACTGATATAAGTTTGATAAGCCGAAAAAAAGGGTCATCAAATGGGCTCCTAATCTAGTTGGGTCTTATCGAATTAGGCTCTACCCAGCCCATTTGAGAAATTGCTCTTACCAACCAACCATTACAACTCACTGGGTGGGAGGTTACCGTGTCCTAGCGGAGGTCTCGGGTTCGAATCCCGCTAGGCACATCTAGGGGAGAGGAGGGAGATCTTGCTCCCAATGATTCTTCTTACCTTCACGAAGTTGCTCAACAGCTAAGAAAGGAGAGAATGGTAATAAAGGTAGCGGGTTCGTGTGGTGGGAAAAGCAGCCTGAATGGTAATGTAACTCCTACTGGATTCGTCCTTTGGAGCCAGTACTGACGAGGCTGAATGTGATCGTATCCGGATTTAACTGTCTAGAGGTTTTGGAGGGTAGTTCATAGACTCGATTAGGGGCGCAAGCACCAACACCTGGATCATCAAAAAAGAAAGAAATTACTCTTAGCCTAACCGCAATGGGGAGGGGGAAGCCAATTGGGAGCCGCAAAAGTAAAATATGGGACTCTAATGTTGACAATGACTCTTTTTTAACCTCACGTTTTTAATAGATTCATTTCAGAGCCCTTTTGATAACTTTGTTGATGGTTTTGTCGATCCGAGGTAGACAGAAATCGAGTGAGATTTGAAGAAATGCAAAGTGTAGACCGAAAAAGAATGTTGGCAAAATGACGGTAACCTTGAGAATAGAGAATGTGACCGCTTTTCACACGTTGGAGATGATATTTATAATGTAAATTGAAATATTTGGGCAACAGGTAGAATAACCAATTCTATAAAATTAAGGAAAATTCTTAGTGTACATGAGTTGTACACGAAGTGTACACAAAACCCCCTAATTGCCTGTGTACACATGTAATTCATTTAGAAAAGGGCAGAATTTGATATCTAATTGCCTGTGTACACAGGCAATGTACACATTTTGTGTACATCTTGTGTACACCAAGCATGGTTGTAAAACTAATTGGTAAGAGAATAATCAATACAACGAGCCGATTTGTCCTTTGTGTACATGAATGTGTAGATGAGCTACACGTGTAAGCCTAGAATCAATAAGATGGAGCTGATTTTAGCCAGAGCTCGCTCGTGCTACGCACGATGTCCTTAAAACGTATGAGCGTTGCAACGACCGTTTCCCAGGATACGGTGGGTAAGGAATGATCGTTTGAGCACACAAACGAAAGTCCTGGCGAACTGGAACAATAGCAGAACACTTAGGAAATTTCGAAGTAGCTGGAAGTGTTTTTAGCTCAAGAAAACGATGAGGAATGTATTGTGCGTTGTGTCATGTTGCAAAGCACCTGCCAGCTATTTATATGAGGATTTGTTGTGTGTTAAATGGGGTGTTAATGGACCTGAACGTTGGATGACATTCGTGTCCACAGGTCGCCCGCGCGCACGAGTCGCGGATTTTCTTCTCCGTTTCGGGATTTGATCGGCACCCCCCCCCCCTGCGCGTAAAAGAGAGCATTTACCTTTAGGAATCTTAACTCCTTAAAAGAGGCTTCCCTTTATAAGGGGGTGAAAATCCGTTGAGTTTTTCGGTGTGGGATAAAACACACTAGAAACTCATCATTTTCCCAGTTTTTCCATTTCAACGAGTGAACTTCGAGAATCAATTTCTCATTCACCCGTTATCCGTTTTGAGCGTACCATATATCGAATTGTAGCCCTTAACAAGGACAATCTGAAACCACTTTGACCCGACCCAAATCGGAAGTGGACCCCGCTCAAATAATTGCCCCAAAATGACCATTTAATGCAATTTTTAACACATTTTTCCAACAACGTAATCGTGAATGTTTGTGGAATCCAAGCGTTTAAACCTCGAAATTCACAATCTCTATATGAGGTCCCATGTTCGATTGTAAAGATCAAGCTTGGATTCAACGTGTTTAGCTAAGAGGTGAGCAACATCAACTTAGTATTGTGGATCAATAATGCCTTTTATTGATCCTTGAGCTCGTAAAACGGTAGTTGGCTTGAACCTCAACAGTAGTGTTGGAAATGCCGCCAACCTCGGCGAGGGCCGACCTCGGCCTCAGGTTAGTTTTGGACCTCTCTCGTGATCTGAGAACTGATTTTGAGCTCGGCCTCCACCAAAGTATATTTAGTGGATTTTGGAGATCCTTTATCGTAAACGTTGATACCCCTGGAATATATGACAATATACCCATCACATGTTTTTCAACATATCAGCTTTATTTGTCAACTTTTTCACCAAACACATAATTTTTTATTTTTGCGCGCTGAATTGCATAATAATCAAAATAAGTACGATTGCAGTTATTTTCCAGACTGCATTGGCTGAAATTATTGTGGAGGATAACTTTAATTATTTTTTCATATAATTTGTTTTATTTTGTTTACAAAATATATTTTAGGTATATTTTTTCCATAAATAAGCAGAATTAGTCGATCCAGCCACTTAAGACAGAAATTCATAAATTTTAACAAAATAAGCTAGTTCAACAAATTTCAGTGTTTGCAAGCGGGCTTGTATAGGAAATGTGATGGATACAATATCATTATGAATAGGTTCGGGGAGATTAAATTTGGTAAATAACTGAAAATTTATTCAACAATTTGAGCCTAAATTCTAAATTAGGTATATTCTCATATAAAAAACATGAAATATGAAAAACTATCTTAAATAGGACAAAAACATTTGTCTATTCTAAAATAGGAATATCACGTTTTGATTCACTAAATAAGAATAATTATTGTCATATTTTAATAGTACCATACTTTAATCATGACATTATTTTTCAAGTTTGGGAGTAATTACTCACATTTAAGTAATGAAAACATGACTATCTTATTTTTAAATTTTCAAACATTTTTATGAGTTTTTTTCCCAGAATAATGCTAATTAAATAAATTATTCCCGAAATACTGTCGGGTTAAGAATAATTTCCAAAATACTGCTGGAATTAACCACGGTTAAAGAAAGCCGCCACTCTAAGTGGCGGCTCTTGTATTACTTCACAAAAACCGCCACTCCGAGTGGCGGCTCTTCTCTTATAGTACAAAAGCCGCCACTTCAAGTGGCGGTTCTTCTCTTACGACCCATTTTGTACATAAATAAAATACATTATGTTTCAAGAATTCGTTTAACTGCGTTCCCGATTGAATTTTGAGCTGAAATTTGGTATGCATAAACTAGACTTGATGAGGAACATGACCAAAAAAAATCATCAAAAAGTTCCACTAGAAACACCCTTTGATGGTGTTGTCCGCGGGGGTTCCGGTCAGGACGTCATGACAAAAGGGTGGTCCGGCCAACTCAATTTGAGGTGTTTTCCGGTGGAAAAACCCTTTGCTGATTTTTTTGTGTACGTTATTAATCAAGTCTAGTTAATCCATACCAAATTTCAGAAACAATCTCAATCGGGAAGGCAATCAAATGATTTTTTAAAGATAACTGCGTTTTTATATATATAATCCGGCGTAGTTATCTTTCAAAAATCATTTGACGGCCTTTCGGATTGAATGTTTTGCTCAAGTTTGGTATGACTGAACTAGTCTTTATTAAGAACATACACAAAAAATTTAATCAAAACATACCACCGGGAACCACCTCAAATTAAGGTGGCCGGACCATACTTTTGTTATGACGTCCTGACCGGAACCCCCCTGCGGGCAACACCATAGAGGGTGTTTTCGGTGGAATTTTTTGATGAAAATTTGTGAGCATGTTCCTTATCAAGTCTAGTTTATGCATACAAAGTTTCAGCTCAAAATTCAATCGGGAAGACAGTTAAACAAATTCTTGAAATATACTACGTTTTATTTGTGTACAAAATGGGCCGTAATAGAAGAGCCGCCACTTAAAGTGGCGGCTTTTGTACTATAAGAGAAGACCTGCCACTCCGAGTGGCGGCTTTTGTGAAGTAACACAAGAGCCGCCACTTGGAGTGACGACTTTCCTTAACCGTGGTTAATTTCAATAGTATTTTAGGAATTATTCTTAACCTGGCAGTATTTCGGGAATAATTTATTTAATTAACATTATTCCTATTTCAGGAATTTCTCCATGAAATTTTAATTATTAAAATGTTTTCACCCGAATTGACAAATCCTTATGGACCTTATCCAACCCAACCGTCATGCTCTTGACCCCTGAGGCCCTGATCCACAAGTGTAACTACGACGGACCAAAGCCGAGCTGGACATGAAAGGATCGTCGTTGAACGCCACAATGGCCGTCTTAACTACGACCTCGACCATCGGAAGTTTCTCAACTCTACATACCTTCACCGTAAGCGTAACTCTATTTCCGAGCTCTCATATACCTTCTCTCTTAGTCATTGTGTAGAAACATCAGAAGTCGGGGGTGTTTACTGATTAAGCTCTCTGTCATTGAGACTGGAGACTGAGTCCGTTTCTGATTATTGTAATGCAGAAAGTTAGTGCTAAGCTCGTAAACCCAGGATTTCGTTTCAGTAATTTTGCGGTCCAATCGCAGGTGAATTGCGTCTATTTCTGAAGTTTTTGCTTTCCTGAAACTGAGAAATTTGTTTATACTTCTGACAATCAGAAAGGTTCCAACTCGCAAAGTGAAGGTCGAGGCCGTAGAGTCTGGAGACGAAAGAAATTGGTAATCAAACGCTCTGAATTTTTTATGTGGTTAATCAGTGACTGTAGTGAAATTTGTTATGGTGGCAAAACTAGGAAGAAAAAAAATAGACTTTAAGAAACAAGAAGTTAATCAGTACTTACATATTTTGAGATCAGTTTGTGCATATATATCTTAACGAGAGAAAGAATTTGAGAACTGTAAGAAAGGGTATGTTTGGATTCTGGGAAATGCCGGTGAAGGGAAAAATGCTGACAAAATTTATTTTCTAGTACGGAGTAATTTGGTTTTACCTTTAAAAATGAACAATGAAAGATAATTATGTTTTTTTACATTTATTTAGCTCTTAGAAAAATGAATGAATGAATGAGTTTGAAGAAACATCTATAACAAATTTATTGAGTTGGTTATATCATTATATAAAGACTATCAAATCCTAATCTATGCAAAAAAACAATAATTATCATATTCCATTTCGTTTGCATTTTCAATGTTAAAAGCAAAGAAAATAACTTTAGCATTTCATTCGATTTCCTTATTCTTTTCCAGATCCAAGCATACCTTAAGGGTATGTCTGGATCCCCAAAAGTTCTACAGAAATGAAAAAAAGTTCAGGAAAGCTATGGTATTATGTTTCTCTTTTCATCACATTTGATTTCCCTTTGCTTTCAAAGTAAAGAGAAACATGACACTTCATGCAATAGCTCAAGGGTATGTTTAAATACCTGAATCCCATGTTGGTTGTCAAAATCAGACAAAGAAGGATGATGATACGAAATACAGATTGGAAGAAGTACCTTTCTTGTTGGAAGAGCATGTGAGGAGGATAGAAGAAGATGGGAGTTTGCTGGCAATGGACATTGACCGGCTATTACTATCAGAGGAAAACCGGTTTGCTTTTGTTAATGAGATCGCTGCAGAGGCCAAAGAATATGTGGAGAATAACCGGGATGAGTACGGCTCAAAGAAAGCCATCCTTCATGTTATCTCTAACCGCATGAATGAGGCCGGGTTTGATCGCCCGGAGGCGTATATAGAACCTGACCCTTTCAAGCCCGGTCCAAGTTTTTTGAGGGATGACCTTTAGTTCTTCATCTTCATCACCTTAATGGGTAACTCAAGAGCTTGTCCTCTGCTAGTGCGTACACCTGCAGAGTTTCTCCTGTACCGAATTGCAATTTTACATCATTTTAAATCACAAATACACACTTTCAAGTTTCATCTCTTGCCTGCCCCAATGGGCACGTTTGGGTTTCGGCGTTTCAGCCAAAACGCTGAACACAACTAAACATAAAACGCTGCAATTTGCAGCGTGTTCGATCAGCGTTTCCTCTCAAACGCCAAAAAGCAAACGAAGGCCAATACTTCATTTCCTTTTAAATAAAGCAATATGCGGTTTCTTAAACATCATGCCCACTCAAAGTAGGACTTCACTTATGAAAGGAGAGAGTATTATACGAGGTACTTCATACGGAGTATATAGGATCTCTCAAACCAACGCCTGCCTTAAAAGCATCTCTGCATAGGCGTTGACGGTGCATACATACATGATTACACGCGAGTGACGGATTGGCACCTAAATCTTCGGTGTTTGATGTTATTCTTCAATTAAAATTATGAAAAAATAACATTTTTTGATGAAATAATTCTAGATGTACATCTTTACAACAATGGAATAACTGGTAAGTTAAAATCAAGAAGTATTATAATAGTAAAGTATAATAAATTATTGGGAAATTACTGAAATGTGAGTAAAAATATTTCACAATTTCAAAAATAGAATTGTCATATTTTTACCCCTTAAATAGAAGTAATTAGAATCAAGCTTGAAGAATACGACAATAATTACTCATATTTAGAGAACAAAAACGTGACAATTTTATTTTGGAAGTCACAAATGTTTTTATTTCAATTTGAGAGCATTTCTTTAAATTATTACATCAATTCTATTCTATACATGTATTTTGGAGTTCTAATATAAATATGTAGGTTTTCACATGAACACTTCCGAACAAGCTGAACTCTGCCATTGCACACACATCACAATAGATAGACACATAAAAATTGACCAATGTCATTTCAATCTAGACGCCCAGAAAACTAAAGGCTTTGGTTAAACATTTAAATGAAGAATTTTAATAGACAATCTTAGAAGTTTGCGCCTACTGTATTTTCCAATTTATATGTCTGTTACTTGAACAACGTTGAGTGATGCTGAACCAGCACCTGGATGGCAGATGGGCCAGAACTGGTGGTAGGCATGTCCAAACTGCCTGTGCAAGAATAGTAAAAGGAGGTACACCAACAGCGGACATAGCGCTCTAATGTGCGAGTGCCACATGGATTTGCGAGAGCGACATTGATTCACGAGAAAATGTGCACCTTACTACCTTAGACTCTTAGACCCCTGCTATATAGGGGTGGACTGGGCCGGGTCTACCCGACTCGGGAACCGGATCGGCCCGCCACTGTGCGGGACCAGCCCGACCCGGTTGCCTGGGATCAGGACCGGGCCTAGGGCCCGAACCGGGGGGATTTTGGGCCGGGTCACGGGTTTGGGGTTCTTCGGTACCAGCCTGGTCCGGGCCAATTTTTTTTTTCTTTTCAAAGTGTTTGAGAGGTAAATGGGTTGGTCTGAGTGTTTTGGAGGGGTTTGGGGTGTGGGGGTAGGAATTAATTAGAAAAGCAAAAAAAATAAAGCAAGGTACCCAACCCGGCCCCAGTAGAATCCCGGGCGTGCCTTAACCCACAATTAAAATGCCCGATTTGGACCGACGAGGAGCCTGGCCCCGGAACCGGTCCATGCCTACTGTTATACAATACCAGAGGAAAGCTAAGCATTGGAGACTTGGAGTAATGAGGGAAGGCCACAGCTGCCTGACAATTAGAGGTATCCACCGATGACCTATATTTAAATAATAACATCTTTATCTTCCGGAGAAAATGTTGGCAAACTGTGTTCAGAACAATATAGCAATGTATTGCCCATTGTTGTGTGGCAGAATAGTAAGCCTTATAAAGTGGTTGCCATCTCAACCTCTTATATTTCTTTGGGGATCCTTCATATTAGGGGATTGATATTATTCCTATTTTCTCACCCCCCAACCTTCCTCATATTCCCTCTATTCTGAAAGCAACCCTTCTAAGAACAAATGCCCAGTTCTTCGGCCAAAGGTGCATCTATCACGGACTATGGCGCTGACCTCAACATGACAAATTTAATTAACTGACCAGAAGAGCACAGTCAAAACGGGTATCACAAAATCAATTCCAGAGTATGGAGTGATTGCAGAACAAGCTAATGCCAAATTAGCTTTGGGTGTTCATATAGCACTATAATAAATCTTCCGTAACAATGTTAGTTTCAAAGTCAAAGTGAGAAGCAGCAGAAATACAAAGGGGCATGCTGCGTGACTGCTTGCTACAGAGCAATGTCGATAAGAGAGCATCATGTATATGTACATTGATTTAAAAAAAACTACAAACAATGATCAGTGAGTGATGCAGGGGAAAAAGTGCATTCACTCGGTAGCAGCACACAGCCATGGCCACTTAAATTCACAAAGATCACCAGCCCTGTTTTCTTCGTTATCTATCATACCTATGTCAGCATTATTCTTCACAAGCAATTCTGCAATATCTTTTCTCTCACATACTGCGGCGTAGTGTAATGGCCCCTGACCTTCATTATCCTACAATTAAAAAATATAAAAGATTGTCAACACTCTTAACTCCGTAACTCTGTCGGGTCTGCTATCATTATATTTGCATTGTTAATTGATTAGTTATTTTAAATCAGTTAACATTAGAAATCCATGCAAAAGATCATACTTCTAAGTTTTACCCTGGATTCCTCTAACATACGCTCAATTGGTGATATGAAGAACCGAAACAACAAATAGTTGAGACGTGAGACTAGTACGCTAGAAAGTCTTCACTAAGTAACTCTTTGAAAATAATCACAAATAAAACATTAATACTCGAGCTGGTCTAATCATGGATCACTCTAACCTTCAAAAGTGGGGCCAGAGGTTCGAAACCGTCCAAGTTCCAACCAAGGTAGGAAGTATTATTGAATCATTTTCATTTACCCCAGTGCCGCAAAGGCTCCCACCTATGGTGGGGTAAGGGGGGTCGGATGTACGCAGTCTTACCCCTGTACTAAAGCACAGAGAGACTGTTTACCGATGACCCATAGTGAAAATCCCGTCCAAAATTGCATGGACTGTCGGCTGCTTCATAACAAAGAAGCGCAGACAGTTTAGTGAGCCATTTTGCTTTATTCCATCATAATCTCAAGCCAAAAAATAACGAATCTTTGGCTCCATTGCAAATGATGGATATTATAAATAGATTAGGATGTATTCCAAAAAATAATAATACCGAGGCATTACTAGTAATACACAGTACACACTCCAATTAAAAAAAGGAATCTTGTTTCAAAACTTTATTCTCTCCAAAATAGACTGCTATTTAATCAAAGGAGCACACTTTGGCATGCATTTTGCCAATAATTTGTTAAAAAAGCTCACAAGCAAATTAAACATGATGCACTCTGTTAGACTAACAAATAAATTTTGAAATACAGAAAGTTTTATAGATTTCTAATGGTTATATACCATGCTATAAATAAGAGGCCGTACCTTGACAAAACATAGTTATTATTTGTTTGGGAAGGTATAGTCTTTTTTGTTTGACATTGAGGGCATTTGAAAATCATTGGTGTTAGCATTTTTCCCTAACAAAAACCTTTCCTTATATTGTATATGGTTGACATTTTTTAAGGAGGAACCATTCAAATCGATTAAGAGTAACACAGAGGAGAACCACATCTTACCTTTTCATTTACATTCGCATTCTTGCTTAGAAGCACTTTGGTGGTATTCAGATGGCCACGATCTACAGCCCAGTGCAATGGAGTCCGACCCTCACTGTCTGAAATTGTTCCAAGACAAAACATATAACTTGCCATTAGTCTAAGAGGTCAGATTTGCAACCCAAACCCTCTCTGTTTTGGGAGAAAATAACTCTTAGTGGAAATTGATATTTTAGCAAAAATATGCAACAGCAATCCACTACTGCAATGACTGATATCAGTAAGTGTGATCAGGAAGTTAGTATGCTAACACAATACTAAGATTTCTTGAGATCCAATAGAAAAACATGAATGGATTGAGCAGCTACTAAGTACTAACCCTTCAAATCCACAGGAACACCCCTCTCAATACACTTGATCAAGTTGTTATCATCTCCTTCTCTAGCAAAGGCATGTATATCGGCCATTTTACTGCACAGGAAAGAAGATATTCTTATTCATTCATGGAAAAAACAGATAATCATCATTAGTATTTTATCATATGAAAAAACAGGTAATCATCGTTCACATTTTATCTAACCACTACAAGAAAAAGTTCTTGTTTCATTTTGAGCAGAAATTGGCAAGGATGAATTTGGCTGAAATTATGGCTGGTATTGGTTAAGTTGCTGAAATTGCAGAACACTGAAAAAATAATTTGGAAATCTATTATTGAAGAAATAAATAACATATATATGGAAAATGCTAAAATGACCCTCATAAGCAATTTCAGCAACTTCGGGCAAAAAGGGCCTCCAACTCTACTTTCTCTCTAATAGTAAATTCAGTGTACACAACGAAATAAGTCAAATAAACTAGAGTTTGGCAAATAATCAAACCATAACTCTGATAAGCCTAAGAGGTGGCTTCAAAATGGCTACTTTGACTTCTAGGCTTCAAGAGGGTTAACTTTTTTAAAGCTCTCCTATCTAACTCAAAGTTTTTCTATTGTTTTTCCAAAAACTTACAATTCATTTCCAGGTTCCTCTTCGTAAATAAAGGTGCTGAGCACAGGTCCCATCGTAGACTTAGAATCTCCACCAGATGCACTATGTCTTTCTTCCCTATTGTTCTTCTGTCAAGTGTCAATCCTTTTTATAATACAGAATAGCAGTAGAAGATAAAACAGACCAAGGATAAAAGCACAGAGTCAATTAAAAAAATGAAATAAAAATGCAAAATTTAAGTGCAACTATACTGCTACAAAATAAAAGTGTTTCCCTTACAGTTGATGAACCAGAAACCCAATCAGGATATAACCCAGTGATGATGTCAATATATTTCTGCATGGCTTCTTCCGGAGGCATTGCACCCAATTTTTGCCATGCTTGCCTAGCATATCATTACACAACGCTTTCAGCTTGCAAACTATAAGTTGAACCAAAATGCTTAATCAAAGAAGAAAATAGAGCAATAATTATTCTTGCGAAAACTGAAGTAATTCTTTTATTTTCTTTATCTTTCTATGTTCTTATGTTATTATTATCTTTTATCTTTCTTGTGTTCTTTTACCTTTTTATCTATTATCTTTTTTTATGTTCATATGTTATTTTTATCTTATACTCTGTATTATCTTATCCATTTTATCTTACTTTATCTTTTTATT